GAAAAAGCATGAGGATTAGTTAAAGTTAAATAATTGCTAGAGACATATTTAAAGGCTTATCCTTGTTTTGTCGTACAACTTAAACAAATTTACACAACAAAAATGAAAATGTATTGCCTTGCAGGACTTTGGCGGTGGCGGCGGAGATGTCGATTATCGCACAGCGCCATCAACGAAAGCCGAGGAGGCCGGCAGTGCTATACGCAGTCTGGGCAACAATTCACCCATGATGGCGCCACCGGGCAGCTATGTGAAGAAGACCAGCTCGCCGCAGAAATCCAATGCGAGTAAGGGCGAATTGTTAAATAAATATAGATACGCATCAAGTTAATACCCAATGTTTGCATGCAGGTTCCTCTTCAGAGTCGGATCGCGTGGATGGCTCGGCACGTTATGATCCCGCGGATATGGTTATTGACATGGACATGTCCGACGAGGACCTGGAAGAGTCGCAGCTAGGTAATGGCAGCAGCCGGCCTTCAATCAACTGTTTAGTTTTAGTTTGCAAATTTTATACATGTGTAACAATTTCCCATGCAGAACTCAATGCCAATCCGGAGCAGCTGCAGCTGGAGAGTGCCGATGGCGAATTGGATGCTAATGGCGTTTTAACGCCGCGTCCCGTGCTGCTGGAGACGCCGCAGGAATTTCAATGGGATGCTAATAACAGTTTTCTTGGAGCAACTGGAGCTGGCAACATGCAGGACATGCAGGCCGCCGACGCACAACAACAACAGCAGCAGCCGCCGTTGCCGCCACAGCAACAGTCGTGGAATCAAATGCAACCGCCCATGCCCTGGAACGGCAGTGAGGGCAACAATGGGCCAGCCGGTGTGCCGCCGCCGCCGAGGCCGCCATTTACGGGTGGTCCATTTCCCTTTCAGGCATTTGGCAATAGTCCGGATAATATGAATCGCGGTCGTGGACGCGGTCGCGGCTGGTCGGGACCATATAGGCCCAATTATCAGCGCATGCCTGGACCCTTTGATGGCGGGCCAGGACCGCGACCGTTCTTTCGAGGCGGTGGACCCATGCGCGGTGGCGGCGGACGTGGGCGCATGCGTGGTAAACCTTGGATGTAATTACGTATTATAGCTTCTATATAAAACATACCACATATATATACACACACCCCCACAAAACACACACACATACGCGTATGCAAGTGCAAAGTTTTTAGTTGTTAGTTGACTTTATCTCATTTGGAGTTAGCCTTACGATGCATATACAGACCGCACACAACACACAACACAAATACACGCTTAGTTTTAATTAACATGCTTTAAACTGCGGATCGTTGGCTATTTAATAAACTATATAGAAGCCGATTTGGACGCAACAGTATGCATAAGCATAAAGTTGTACGATTTCCTGATAAACACAATATACTATATATATTATATGCATGACAGTCTTGCGCCTTGTCTCCCTTCCTTCCAAAGCGAAAATATTGTCTCGATCTTATGTATTAATTATATATATCAAAAATATATATATACATATTTATATGATGTATAGCAATTTCTTATATGCAATACCAGTTGGGCAAATTTCAACTATCAAGCAAATATTCAGAGTCAAGCCTTCAGGCGTTTATTTTATGGCACGTTCAATAAAATGCATCTACGGTCTTCAGTACGTGAATTTTTGGGTTAACTTGGGTCTTCCCCGAATCAAATTGATAAAAATTATAAAAAGATTTGTGTTTTACAATCTTTCAACACATGTGCCAAAGTGGAAATTTAGTCAATTCTGTTTATTTCCTATGTGGCCTATAGTCTATTAATAGTTCAACGATCCAAATCTCCCTCTCTCTCTATATTCAAATTGCTCTCACAGCACACAAGAAAAACAAAGAGGAAAACTTTTCAAGACTTGTTTAGTAACAAATTATAAAAAGAAATTTTGTTTTAAGTTTACAGTTGCCTTAGCTCATAGATCTTATATACTATTAAAATATATATGCCTAACATTTAGTTAACTTCAAACATTGCTTTTAGTTTTCAGCATTAGACGTAAGCGAAGCATATTGTAAATATATATAAATGTAATTATGTTAGTAACTAAATTGTATCTACTATATGAACTTCGGTCATGCCAAAGTTTTATGCTCTTCACTAAATGTCTACACATACAAGAAATATTTCAAATAATAACCCTCTGTTCGGTAATAACAAAACCATAAAATCTCGTTAAAAGAATTTCAAATTAAATAAAGATTGATTTCTTTTAAATATTTACTTAACACAAAGGACTGTTAGGGGGGCCCAGCTTATAGACAAGGACGACATATATATATATATATTTTCACGGATCCTTAAAGATCTTTTGAACTGAACTATTTAGAAATGACTGAGCTCCACTTTGGAGCGCGACAAATTTGACATATTCCAAACTGACCTCAAGACTGATTCAATAATCTTTCCGTAAACTAGATCTATCTATCAAGGACTCTTGACTTTTCGGGTGGGCTCTGCCGAACATAAGCTTAAGTTTCGTTTAGACAAATCTGACGTCCAAATCTCGAACTCGAACTCGACCTCTTATAATCTCTAAGTACAAAACCATAAGCAATACAAAAATCATATCGTCAAATGCGAAAACTAAAACTATTTGTGAAGAAATTAAAAAAATAAATATATGTATATATATATGTATGGAAAACTCAGTTGAGCGGCAAAGTCATATGTGTAGTAGTTTAGTATGCTAGTTATATATACTAAATCTTAGTCTATATATTATGCTTAAGCGTAGTTAAGTTAAGTTTCGTGTTGCGTATTTAGTTGTATAAATACAAACCATATTGTGATATTTAAAATTTCGAAAATGTTGTCTTTAATTCTTCTGTGTTTCAATCAAATTTCGTGTCGTGCTCAGTGCAGGATCTAAGGATCGCCGTGTTGTTTACCTGTTGACGTTTGCGGCACTTAATCACCTTCCAGTTAAGAGCCCAGTTTCAGTTTCGGCTTTCGCCTTTCGGTTCTGTGTCGGCGTCGGAAGTCGGAACTCATCAATCGTGTGTCGGCAAACGCTTGTTTTGACTCTTGTGGGCGTTACGCCCGCTACTTAGTTATATTCCCAAGGATACTCTCAAGGATAACCTTTTTTCGAAATAAATATGATACGCCAAGACTGATGCGCAGAGATGCGGCAAATGTGAATTAATGAGCCAAATCGTTGGCCCTAAATTTGACCAGTTCTACTAACTATTAAGATTACATATTCTTTAGATGAGAGTTTAACAAAAGTTACTCACAAATTTTTATTTATATTTAAAATTAATTTAGTGAACCAATCAGGTTCTGCTTATTCCTTAAGACTTGAGCCTACAAAATGTGTGAATAATTTTTAAAAATTCATATTTGTTTAAATAAAAAGCTTTGGGGCAAAGTTGATATTCAAAATTAGAATGTATGTATGCATGTATATGCATGTGTGTGCATGCGTGCATATATGTCTGTATAAATATATATATATATATATATATATATATATAAACGTATATTTATATATATGTATTTATGGTCGTGAATGTGTGCATGTGTGCGAATGTATGTAGGTCTGCATGAGTATGTTTACATGTACACATGTTTGTATGCATGCATGCATGTATTTTTGTATGCATGTACGCATATATGCTTGTGTGTTGCATATGTATATGTGCGAATGCACATGCATGCATATTGTGCGTGAGTAAGTTTGTATGTTATTATGTTTGTATATATGTATTATGTATGTCTGCATCTATATGTGCAGTTTTGTATGTACTAACGTATGTTTGTATGCATGTGTTTGTATGCATGCATATTTTATGTAGGCATTTATATATGCCAATTAATGTATGCATATATTTTATATGTTTATATGCTAGACCAAGTCTACCTCTAGTTAAGCTTAACGTATGCGCTACAACTTGATTGCCATGAATTCGAGTAGGTCGCGTTGGCTTCAGTTCATGTAAAGGCGACTACGGCTTGGAGGAGGCGGTAGCTGGAGCTAAGGAGGAGACCGTGAAGGAAACGGCTTGAACTATGGAGGAGACGGCAATCTAAATTTTGGAGTAGACGGCAGCCTGAGCAAAGGAGGAGGAAGCTGCGGCTATATTATTGCAGGAAACGGTGGCTATCGCTTTGGCAGAGGCCTCCTCTGGCATCAATTTTAAATATGAAAAAAACATTGACAAAACTCGTGCGTATTTGTAAACTTAATATTATCTTATATTTTAAATAAAAGCAGAGTTTTGAAGCTAATGAAGAATATCTCTGCTTTTTTGTTCTATCAGTGATATCTCCCTACTCTCACAGATGGTAAAGCAACAGTGCGTGGGGATGACAGGTGAATACTTTTTACAAATATATATTTATATATTTATTCCTATATATAAATTTTCACCTTACCTTACCTTATGTGATGAAGGTGCAATTCCACCCGCATGAGTGGAAAAATCGCGAAAAGTGTTTATATGAAACTTTTAGTTTACCAGCCGATTGGCCTCAAACTCATTCTCAAAGATCTTTGTCAAAATTCATCAGATGCATATTTCGCAATCTTTGGAAAATCCATCGCTCCTTGGTGGAAATGGTTCGAAATTTCCCACCTCCATAACTTGGTCCAATCTCATCCGATTTTCACGAGGTTTGACTTTTTTCACTTTTTCTAGACTTTTAATCATGCCCTCTAGATTAAATCTGGCAACATTTTTATCGTAAAATATATATATAAAAAATATAGGATAATTCCACTTCATCCCCCTAGAAAGTTCCGCGGCTTCAGATTAAAAATATTTAACGATATTTTTTGTGCTTTAGTTTTGTCTTTGTTTCAATCTTAATTATCTTTTATTAACACTCTTTAAATTAAATCTAACTTAAATAGTTTAGCAGCTAAGCCTAAGAACTAACAGCCTTTAAAAGTTGACACTAGGTTCGAATGTTGCTCCAACACGTCCCGGTTGCATTGCCTCCCGCAGCTCCCCCGCTCCACCACCCACTATCATCCACTCAATAGTCCCTGGAGAGCAGCGTGAGCAGATCCCCAATGTACGCCTGCGCCATTTGCAATGTCTCGTACTTGGAGAGCCGTCGATCATGGCCCAGCGATGGCACCACATCCCGCAGCTTATCGAAGGCATCATTGAGGCTGTTCATCCGGCGACGTTCGCGTGCATTGGCCGCCAGCCGACGCTTGCGCAGGACATCGGGCGCGCAATCGTCGCGCTCCTCCTGATCCTCGCAAGCTGCGCTGGGATAGGCGCTGCTGTTGGCATCGTAGGGTCTGCTGCGCGCCGTCTTGTGCCAGTATTTGGCGGCCTTTGTCTGGAACTTGGCGGCGCCCATTTGCTGCTGCTGCTGCTGCGTCTGCGCGCTGAGCATTTGCTCCAGCTCCAGCACCGCGGGCGTGTCATAGTACAGCTCCAGGGAGCAGCTATTGGTGCCATCGGATAGACTGTCCGCGCTGCCACTAAAATCCCTATCCTGCTGCTGCTGGTTCATGAATTGCTCCAGCTGTTCTTGCAGATTGCCAACGGCCAGCGAGTCCGCTGCCGCCTCCAGACTCTCGGCGCTGTAGTAGAAGTGCTCGATAAAGTGCTCCTCGCTGTTCGTCAACATGTTCGCTGTGTGTGCTAGCCCAAGGATAACTGACGCAGACGCAGTCCCAAGCCGGGCCTTAAATACCCAGCAGCAGCAGGCGGCGCTCAATGTTGATTGGCTGTGCGGCCTGCTCTTACCTGATTCGCTGGACTGATCCTGTTCTTATCACGCACGTCTACCTGACGCTCACCTGGCCCTAGCCCGTGCCCTAAATTGGCTGGCTTGCGGTCAAAACGTTTAATTGCCACTTGAGAAATCCGCTCGCTTTGTCTGGCCTGCCATTTGCTGCCATTCCCTAGTCATAAATACACATACGTGAGTTTTTCGTTAAGCTCCTTTTGTGCCCTAAAAAATATAATCGTTTTGCGCAAATGCATGTAACAGGCCGAAGGAGGCATATTGTATATACATATATATATAGCAATATTTGTCTGACTAAACGCGTCGATCTTGGCTAGATACTTACAGCTTTTAATATATATGTTCTTGTATGCCCTATGCAAATGGGATTTATATTCTCAGAATATTATTCAATTTTGAGACGTGTTATTTAAGCATAACTCGAAGACTGTAAGAGCTAGATACAGCACATTAGGTATGTCGATACTTGTATAGTATATAGAGATTGAACATATTTCACTTTTTGGATATTGCCTTCCATTTCCCTGAAATTTCATAGAAAACATAATTATAAAGGCAGAGCCGCGCGCTTTGGTATTTACACATGTTTGAATGTTATATATAAACTCTGAAAATTTCAAGAAGATCTGTCCAGTAAAAACGAAGTTACAGAAGACGACATTTCCCAAAAAAAAGAAAAAGCACAGTCTCTGCCTTTTAGATGCAGCAGCTCGACGCTGGGTATCTACTAGTCGAGCCGACTCTTCTCACATATATGCTCTACATTTAATGCAATATGTCAAACAATTGTTGCCAAGGTCAATCAGGGATCAAAAACAACAATAAAAGCTACCTTTTGTTGTCGATACTTGCGCCAATATCTTTGCATTTTATTCGATCGCAATTGTTATATTTTTTGTTGTGTTGTTTTTTTTTTCTTTTCGTTTGGCTCTCATGATAACCACCAGTTGCCAATTTAGTTTGCATGTCTGTGGTCTAGCGGTCCTTCGGTAAGTGCTCTGCACCACATTTTTGGCTCCGTACAAAAGAATTTCTCCCAAGTGCGGTTTTACATTGTTGTACTTTCGATTTTAGCCATTGTGCGCTTTATTGGGTCACAAACGCAAACTAATTATACGAGCGCTTTCTTTGGGTTAGCCCAAAAACAGATTAAAGCAAGTCACACGATCAAAACTTAAAGATATCTTTTTGGTACTTATCTTCAATCCACAACGAGCTTTAAAGTCCAAAAGACATTTGAAACTTTCATATTACGATACATATTTAATTTTTTTATACCCTGAACCCATTAAAAATGGGTATAAGGGTATATTGTATTTGTGCGAAAGCCAAATGTATGTAACAGGCAGAAGGAAGCATCTCCGACCCCATAAAGTATATATATTCTTGATCAGCATCAATAGCCGAGTCGATCTAGCCATGTCCGTCTGTCTGTCCGTCCGTCCGTCCGTATGTATGAGTCAAAGGATCTCAGAACCTATAAAAGCTAGAGACTTGAAATGTAGATGTAGATGCTCCTAGTTCCCGCGCAGATCGAGTTTGTTTCCGATAATCGATAACTTACTCCGTTTCCAAGCAATCGATAAAAATCGATATCGATATCCTTTTTTTTTTGGGCAATTTTGGTAAATAATAAGACCTAGAGTCACCAAACTTGACATATAGCTTCCAAAATAGAATATATATATGCATTTGATGTTGGAAGAAGAGGGTTCAGGGTATTCCCTAGTCGGGAGCTCCCGACTAGAACCTGTCACTTGTTTTTATGATTATTATATTTTTGTTTTTTTATATTTTATTTTTTATATTTAGCAACAATCGGTTAAGCTCCAAGTTCTCAATCTCAATTGGTTCTCAATCTCAATTATGTAAGATTTAGTTCTATGAAGAGCATATGGGTATATATCTGTACTATATGCATAATTTCGCGGAATTTCAGCTCGGATGCTTCTTTTTCAGTTGCCCAACTGAAGCGAATGCTTCAGTCAATCGATTGCAACAACTGTTCGAATTTGGATGAATGAATTGGCTTGAATGTCAGCTAACTAAATCGCGAAGGTATTTAATCTTTGGCACCCCCGTGGTTAGCTGTTGCCGCTTGTAAAACTTATCGATCGCCCACTTAACACTTCTCGCTGGCTCGGACTCGGGGAATTGGAACATGTCTCGGCACGGCAACACATGGAACTGTGTTTGTGCGCCTTTTTACCGCTACCATTAAATGCTTATTAAGATAAGTTGTTGTGTACAGAAGACGAAGAAGGACTCAGTTAACCCAACGGCAGTCGCAATAGAGTCATAAATGTCACAGGACGCGCTATTTATGCGATGACTATTTATGATACCCATCAAGAGAGCCTGCCGCCGCCGAGGATCAGTCTCTGGCTGCGGCTCAGGCTACCTGCTGCTGCTCTGGGCCAAAGGTCCTTGCCAGCAGCCAAAATAGTGGGTATTTAGCTCGTTATTCTGTTTGTTTTCCAAATCACGCTTAAGTGTCAATAAATTCACATAAAACGTTGCAATTGAGCGACACATTTCGGCTATCGGCAGACCCTCGGCCCTAACGGATATGCTGATATGTGCCGGGTTTTGGCTGGGTTAGGGGAGCTGCAGGACTCGACGTGTGTCTTAAGTTATGGCAGAAGCTGCTGCCGTTTCCTAGAAACAGGCGCTCACTTTGAGCACGCTCTAGAAATCTTGATTTAAATTCTATATGAAAAGGGGAAAGAGGTTTGAGATATATTAGAGAAGAGTTTTCATTTGATGAAATAAAGGACATTTAAAAATACATTTAAAAAATAATTAAATATATTATAAATAAAGGAAAAGCCACGCTTAGTAATATCTTGCACGTATAATAATAAAATATAATATACAAATATAATGTTATAGAAACGAATTAAGTTCGAACAAGATCTTTGTTGTTCTAATAAAACTTATCTACAAGTTTTACCATGTTTTCAACATAGGAGAGACAAATGTTAACAATATTAGACGCTTATATTATACGAGGAAAGAATTTTCCAAAAAGTGTGAAACATCCCTCAAATGAATTTGAGCAAAAGATCTTTGAAAATGAGTTTGATGCCGAACGGCTGGTAAGCCAAAAAGTTGTATGTACGCGTTTTTCACCGTTTTTCCACACTTGCGGGTGGAATCTCCCAAAATGTTCTGCCTGAACGGCGGGTCACAGGGACGACTGGTCGAAAACTCAGTTCTTTTTTGAAACACTTTTCCTTAATCAAACTATGCATTTACGAGTTAGGCCAGAGTATTCCGATATGGGAATATTATATATCATAACTACCATATATATGCTCTAGATAGAATCGAAAGAGTGTAATAATGAATTTTCCGAGAACTCCACTTTACTCCCCAAATAACAACATCAGATCGGTATACTATATAAAGACTAAGACTTAAGCTTTTTCTGAAAACCTAACATGTATCTGAAAGGGTATCAGATCTTCCTCTTCATTTGAGTCATGAATGAAAAAGTTGTCTCAGTTAGGAAAATAGGTATACAATGACAATCAGATCTGGATCGAGATATAGCTGCGATTGAGCTGACGCTTGGAAGTGCATATCATGCTCTGGGTGCAATTTCCGTATGGCATGATGCACTCGACTCATCCATTATGCACACAACATTTGAGTGATCCGCCATCAGAGCTCGGCTGTGGCTACCGCCCACTTTTGAGAAGCCGCAACGAAAGGTTAATTAACTCAATGTAGGGCAGAAAAATCAATTCAAACACTTGGCTGCATTTCTATAGAAGACGGCCAAAACAATTCCAAAACAAGCTGGCGTCGAGCGCCGGGCATGGCTAAAATGTACAAATGATGGGTCCGGTCAAGTCGCAAGAGTCAAGAGTTGTCCAAAGAAAATTTCACACAAATTGACAAGAACAAAGATCAGATGCTGATCCTGCCGACAAAAGGCAGCAGCGGCAGTAACATGACGTTTGATCTTGACGCTGGCTTCTGCTCGCACGATCAAGATCCTGATGAACCGCTGATCGATGTGCCACGCGACCGCAGTAAGAGCTCGACATCAGCAGGGCCGCAATTTCCAGCGAAAGGACGTCTCAGGCTCGGAGATCAGCTAAAGATCGAGCACGCCCGCAACGCGAAGGTTTCCAATTAGCATGTCGCTTACCTGCTCGGCATTTGGCCAGTTGCATGTCCTTGTCAAAATAGCGAACAATAGGCCAGAAGGCGGTTCCGCTTGAAAGTCGAGCCTCTCCAACAACAATAGCACCAACTGATGATAATCCCTCTCCCGCTCCCGCTCCCTCGTCCTCACCATTTAGATTAATCGTTTTGGTTGTGCGGATTATGGGTTGGCGCTAAATTGCGAAAATGCGATTAGTTAAGTCAAGTATTGTTTCGTGTATTGCGTGAGATTGTTGTCCATGTCAATCGCTGGCATCTCTTTTGTCCCTGGGAAAAGTCGCACTTGACCCAACCGCAGCCAGACAATGCCTGATCTGCTGCTGCTTTCTTTTGTTCCAAACTGAGCATTGTTTGAGTCTGCAGATCTCAGTCAAATTACCATGTAATATTCCAGCATTATGAGCGTAATATTATGTATATCTCATATATTTGTTTGTTTCTGCGAAAATTAGTTTTGGTTTCTCCGAACCAGCTGTGCCCAAAATCCAGACTGCGTGTCGCTCAAGGGATTAGCTGGCATTTCATATAAAATCTACTCGATTTGTAGAGAGTATTCTATGTTTATCAAGAAATAGTGTAGAACACGAAATTTCTATTTAATTACTAATACAAGCCGATCCGAGTCGATAAAGCATTGCCCGTTGTCCCGGCCTGGCCTATGTCTATATAGAATATTTGAGGCAACAATTTTCACATGAATTTTGACTAAAAATAGTGTTGCCATATTTAGATGCCGAATTGATCTACTGGTCAAATCATGTACAAAAAATCAAACTTTATGAAAATCGGTTAAGATTTGCCTGAGTTATGGGCGTGGGAAATTTTTGCCTATGTCTATATAGGATATTTGAGGGTACCATTTTGACATGAATTTTGACCAAAAATTATGTTGCCAGATTTGGATGCAGAATTGATAATGAGGCCAAACCATGAACAAAGAGCCAAACCTTATGAAAATCCGATGAGATTTGACCAAGTTATGTGGGTGGGAAGTTTTGACCTATGTCCATATGGGATATTTGAGAGTACCAATTTAGCATGAAATTTGACCAAAAATGATGTTGCCAGATTTGGATGCAGAATTGATAATGAGGCCAAACCATTAACAAAAAGCCATGCTTTATGAAAATCGGTTGAGTTTTGACCGAGTTATGGCTGTGTTTGTATGTGTATGTATGTATGTATGTATATGTGTGTGTGTGTGTGTGTTAGTTGATGCATGTATGTATTTATGCATTTATGTGTATATGCATGCATGAGTTTGAGGCCGATCGGCTGGTAATCAAAAAAGTTGCATACAAGCGTTTTTCACGATTTTTCCACACGTACGAGTGGAATTGAAAATTTCAGCTTCGTAGCTCTTACGGTTTAGGCTGTCCATTGATCACCAATCAGTCAGTCAACAAGTCAGTCCGTCATTTGGTCAGTCATTCAGTCAGTCAATCAGTCAATTAAGTTTAATATACGGAGAAAAATAATAGCATATACATAAAGTCACATACATTATTAAACAGGCAAAGTTTTAAATTAAGAAATATAGCTATGTTTATTTTGTTATTGGAAAGAACCGAATACATTGCTAGTAAAAATATAAATAATTATATAATTGGGCTATTCACAGGCCACAAAGCACAATTAACTCTGCTTAATCAGAAAAATATTTGTATAATTTATAATTTATATGTCTAGCTTAAAAATTGTTGCAGCAGTTAAACGCTTGACTGTGAATTGCCCGTAAATATGTTGAAAACTAAATGCTAAACAAATCAAATCTATTTTTGCGAAACCAACCGTTTTTAATAATACTTTTTGCTACATAGAGAGCAGGTTGTCGAATCACAACACGTTTTAATATCGAACAGAGCACAAATTGATATAGTGTATGTGTTTTCTTTAAATGGTCCGCACATATGTGTTAAATATTGTTTAATATTCATATAAAATAGAGTTGTTAATTTGTGAATTGCTGATATGATAATTAGTACAAAGGGTTTCGATGATATTAGAGAGTGCTTGTTGTTGTTGTAGCTGTCGTTGTGTGTGCTAAACAATTTAAAATCGAGTTAAAATTGAACATGAATACATGATTATACGCTACAATTTTCTACAGCTTTCAGCCTACACACAACACAAAAACAAATACATACTTATATGTTAATTGATAGACATGGGTTTACAATTGAAAGGAAAGACCGAACGTGCATAAATTTGCCTTTTAAAACTTGATTATGTGCCGCATATGCAATGCATTTGATATCACTGTGCGCCTGCAATCTCCAACAACAGAGAAACAGAGAAAGCGGCTGGGTTGGGATTTATTTAGCTTAGAGCGTTGTCGAGGTTACCGTGCTGACGCCATGCACCAGTATTGTGGGCGGCAGCTCGGCTGTTAGTTCGGTCAGTAGCTCCACATAGCTGGCGCTGCGATCATTAAAGTCCGGCAGTGTGGGCTTTGGCGGCGCCGCCAAGTATATAAACGATAAAGCTGTTTGATCGGAACGATCTCGTATTACTTGATTCACACGCTGCATATACAACAGCGAGCGATTGAATTTATCCTCAGCTATCTCATCGCCATCGTCCAGCAAAGCTTCGTCCGCTTGAGCCGTAAACTGTCGAAGTATGCGCGCATGGCGTGTGAACTCTGTGTCTCGGCTCCATTCTTGAATCTCTATAATATCCGCATTGATGCGCAGCTCCTTCAGCGATTGCTCCAGCTTCAGCTTGGAGAATATATCCATTTGTGGTGCCTGCGTCTCAAATGTGCTGCGGGCAGGCGTTTAATAGTTAGGCAAAGTTTAATGAAAGCACTTTTTAATATTTACCCCACGGTGCGCTCCTCATTTGTTTCGCACAGAAAGATGCGCACGCGCAAATGTTTCCACTTGGCCAGCATGATGACCGCCAATTGCATCATGAACAGCGAGACCATGTCAAAGGGATCACCCGATGTGGGATTGAACACGTTAATGGGCCACACATCGATATATTTAACATGCTTGCTTCTGTAGGTTCAGAAATGAGATATTTGTTTATGAAACGTTAAGCACAGGTTCATTATCAACGCACATGGTTATAAAGTTCTTGTCCAAGCGCTGAAAGTTGCGGCACAAACACAGGTTCTTTTTCATGCGCAGCGTATCGCAGAGGATTTGCACATATTCCTGAACCTCAAAGTGTTTGGATTCACCGTCGCGTCGTATGGGAAAGTTTTGTATGTCTCCCTCGTTGAAGCCATCCGTTTTATAGGGCGAGGTGCCACTGAAATTATAGGGAATTATTTAACAGAATTAACGATATCAAAATCCGTTACATTTCTAAATTTAATGACCTCTATAATACTTCCAGCTACTCACTTTTGAAAGAAATCCTTGGGCGCTTCATTGTCATAGAAGCCCAAAATAATGGTATTTGGCTTCATGGCGCCAATGCCGGACAAGCGTATCAAATGCTGAACGCCCTCGCGGATGCTGCGGCTGATGGTCACTTCGGTGAAGGCCTTGACACGCATGTGATCGAGGAAGGACCACCACAGCTGGTTCTCGACGGCATCCTCAACAGCATTGCAATCGCCCAGCTTGACATGGCCAATGATGTAGAGGCCACTCTTCTTCAGATCGTTGACAAAGTCGACCAGCGGACAGCAGGAGCGCGGCGAGGAGACCAAGAGTAGAATTTGTGGACGCCAGAATTTGACGTGATCTTTGCGTGGATCCAGCATAAGCAGATACTTGCGCACCTGCGCAGCGCGTGAGATCGAGTGTGAAATTATAAATGCAAGCAAATTGGATTCACAAACTCACCTGATGGAACATCAGCGCCTGGGAGATGGAGCCCCACTGCGCCGCCTGTGTGGCTGGCGAGAACAGATGCAGTGCTATGACCAAGATCAGGCACAAAATGATGCAGGAGGAGGCATAAATCGGATTGATGACAAACATCATGATCAGCGTGCCAAGCAGGCCAACGAGGCACGTGTGCCACGTGAAGTATTTGAAGAGTGGCCGAAAATTGGGAGCACCGGTCAGCTCGATGCCCAAACAAGCGAGATTCGTAGCCAAATAGGAAAGCATAAACAGCACCGAATTAATCTGAGCGATGATATTAAACGAGCCAATCAATAGAATGCACTCGACCAGCACCCAGCTGACAAACACGGCGCATATAGGATTGCCCTTCCAGGTGCCGTGCAGCACAAAATTCAACAGCGAACCGAAGACCTGATCCTTGCTGAGAGCTTCCAGAATGCGACTGGAGCCAATCAGATTGCTCAGACCCGTCGAGAAGGTGGCCGTCAAAATGCCAATGGCGGTAAATGGCGGCCACAAGTTGACGGGCATCAGGAACAGATAATTGTTCTGCATTGTCTGATACGGTGTGGTGCAGCTCATCAGGAACGAGAGTATAATATACGAGACGAATGTAAAGCAGACCGCCGAGAGTGTGCCCCAGGGTATGCTCTTCGAGGGACTCTTCAGCTCACCGGACATATTCGCACCGGCCATAATGCCCGTAACGCCCGCGAAAAGCACACCAAATGTCGTCGAGAAGTCCACGTTCTTGTCATTCGACGTATAATCCGTGCCATAATGCGAATCCAGATTCTCTCGCAACGTGTCGCTGCTGAGTCCCGTATAATTCAGAAATTTCGTCCAATTCATTTTCGTATTCTCCACGGGCACAGGAATCTAAACGAATTATGCAAGTCCATGAATATAGTATAGATCACAGATAGCGGAAGATTATTGCACTTAGTTGATACTCATTTAATTGAATTGGCGGACATGTTAGTTTGTTATCAGCAGCTGCCCGATGATTCACATTCCGCGTCATTTCTATACTACAAATGTTAGATATGCTATGCGCTGTTACAGTGAAAACTGGCTAAAGTCAAACGGAAGGGGGGTGTGCAATATTTCTCAAACTTCTACAAAATATAAAATTAAAGTTAGCTAATTTATAAATATTTATAAAGTCGAGCTCTGTAAATGTTTCTGTCCAGAATAGTTAGTCATAGGAAATGTTCACTGTACTTAAGCACATTGGGATTATTGAAGCGGCGAAAATTAAACTGACCGAGGCCCAGAATAATGCAACAGAATCTTATCAATATGCCACACGACATTATCGTAAGCTAATGAAATTAAATAACAATTTTATAAATTAGTTTTCGACACATTCTAAAAGTATTGCACAAGGACTTTCCCCTCTTGGGGCTGACATCACGCTAGCATAGAGATTGATAAGCCTGGCGGGGATTTAGCTGCATGATTGATTACAACTGAGACATGCGGGCGGACGCTTACCGTATCATTTGTGGCGCCTTTCGCCAGAAAGCTAATATACGTTGCGAAAAGACAAATTGTCACCGTTCCCAAAATAAGCACTGACGTCTTGGCAAAGAGGGCGGCGCCCACCAGGCACACCAGCAACATGCAGGTATTGATTAGGCTGCTGACCAGAAAGCGCCACCATTTCCCATCGGGCAGATGGGAGCTGGCCTCGTGGATGAAATGACCGCCGGGACCAAAGTTATCCATAACGCCCTCCGTACAGCCCGATATGGCCATGGCGCAGCCCACAACATTCGCAAAGAAGAAGAGCGTGCCAATGGAACCGCCAAACTCGAGGCCCAAGGTGCGACTAATCATAACTGAAAAACAAACGAAATTAAGAGTACGCACAGCTATTCCATACTATGTGGGTACTCACAGTAGACGCCGCCGCCCTCCACGGCACCGTTGGTGGATATAGCGCAAACGGAGGCGACTGTGAAGAGTAAAATCGCGTAGGCGATGAGAAACTGCAGAAATGTAACATATAAGCCCGCATTGCCGACAATGTAGCCTGTGGGGAAGAGGAAGGGAAGGGAAGGTGGCATCGTTAGAACAAGTGCGAAATTGTGACCTCACACACACACAGACACACTCACCCACACGTATGAAGACCAAGGCGCTGAACATAGAGAGCGCTACGGGACTGAAAACGCCTGCGAATGTGCCCAGCGTGCGTCCGTTGCGCTCTGGATCCTGCATGCCGAACTCCACGTAGCCATCGCTTGACTGTGGCGTTATGGGACGTGCAGTATCCGCGCCTCCGCCGCCGGCACCAAAGAGCGAACCGAAGCTGCGAAACATATTCGAGGCGCTGCCATTGCGCGGCGCTGCAATCGGCGCCGTCTCCTGATCCCTGCTGTTGCTCATGGCAGCTGTCCAGCTGCTAGCTGCTGGAAATTAACTGACACGCACACAGGCACAGGCAAGCGTAATACGCCAATTGCCGCAAATCAAGGGAATTACTTGATGTATGCTATTTGGAGCAGTTCACAGCTTTTGATTCTTTTGTTTGCTCTTTTTTTTTGTTTTTCACTGGGTTTCTGGTTCAACGCGTCACTTGCTGAGTCGTTGTTTGTCCGTTGGCACAGAGAAAACACGCAAAACTGAGCCCCCCAATGCCCCGCAAGGGCCGAGGCTCCAAAAACTACAACACAGCTGGCCGACGCCATTTGTGTTTAGGCGGTATTTTTTTGGTATTATCTACAATATTCAAAATCGGTATTTTTATGCCGCCAATGAACGGTCTCATTTCACTTATTGAGTAACTGCGATTGTGGCAAAATGTATAAATTTTTGATAAAGACCAATTTCGAAACACATGCCCATCTGATCCAATCTAATCCAATTTCAATCCTTAGCTATGTGATTTAATTAATAAATTGTCAATTTAGTGTTGTGTAATTAGTGCAGTAATTGCATATTTGGTCCGTGACTGTGACTTGCGTTCATTTACAGCTACGCCGGCAGCGCTCATCTCTAATTCACGCACATCTGATTTGTTTTCAGCTAAACGTTTAACTGCGGAGAATTGTTTCTCTTCCGCTGTTAATTGCGAAATGGTGAATGATAAAAAGCGTCGTTCACGTTCCCGGGAACGTTACAGGGACGAACGTGGCGCAGCCACAGCCGACAGAGATCGGGAGCGCGAACGAGAGCGCGAACGGGAACGGGAGCGACAACGGGACAGAGATGCGCCGAGACACAGAGAGCGGGATCCGCGCGACAGGCAAACGGATAGGGAGAAGGAGCGCCGGCAGCGACGCTCGCGTTCCAGGCAAGTAAACAATTAAATGAATTACATTCAAATTAATAATATAAACATTACGCAGGGAGGAGCGTGCCAGGCGGGGCGGACGGTCGCCGGATCGCCAGCGTCAGGTGCGCGAACGCTCGCGGGAGCGTGGAGCACGCAACGGCGAGCCCGAGAAGAAGCCCAAATTGGACAGTTCGGCTTCCGGAACTTCTGTTAAGCCGGAAGACGAGCAACTCGAACAGAAAGTCGATGTCAAGCAAAAGAAGGAGCCGCTGTCGCTAGAGGAGCTCCTGGACAAGAAGAAGCGCGAGGAGGAGGCGCGCAGCAAGCCCGTTTTTCTGACCAAAGAGCAACGTGCCGCCGAGGCGATCAAACGCCGCCAGGAGGAGGTGGAGCGCTTGCGCGCCGCCCGCGATTCCGCGCGGGATCAAATGCAATCGGCCAGCAGCAGCAAGAGCATCAGCGGCATAGCCACAGCGTCGGCATCGCTGCCCGTCGCCATGGCGCCGCCGCCGGCGCCTATGAAGTCCGAGCGACGCGAACGTGGCGGAGATCGCGGTGGTGGCGGCGGCGGCGGTGAACGGGATCGCGACAGGGACAGCAAACGTGTTGAGGATCTGACGCACAAGGACAAGGAAAAGGAACTGGAGGCCATACGCGAACGCTATCTGGGCATTGTGAAGAAGAAGCGACGTGTACGACGGCTCAACGATCGCAAATTCGTGTTCGACTGGGATGCTGGCGAGGACACCTCCATTGATTACAATAATCTGTACAAGGAACGGCATCATGTGCAGTTCTTCGGACGTGGCAACGTCGCCGGCATTGACATCAAGGAGCAGAAGCGCACACAGAGCAAATTCTATGGAGATTTGCTCGAGAAACGGCGCACCGAAGCGGAGAAGGAGCAGGAGAAGGTGCGCCTGAAGAAGATGAAGCGCAAGGAGGACAAACAAAAGTGGGACGATCGACACTGGTCCGAAAAGGACAATGATGAGATGACCGAACGCGATTGGCGCATCTTCCGCGAGGACTACAACATTACCATCAAGGGCGGCAAAATACCCAATCCCATACGCAGCTGGAACGAGTCCGGCTTTCCGCCCGAGATCATCGAGATTATCGACACGGTCGGCTACAAGGAGCCCACGCCCATCCAGCGACAGGCCATTCCGATCGGGCTGCAGAATCGCGATATTATTGGCGTCGCCGAGACGGGCTCCGGCAAGACCTTGGCCTTCCTCATACCGCTGCTCTCGTGGATTCAGTCGTTGCCCAAAATCGAGCGTCTGGAGGATGTGGATCAGGGCCCGTATGCCATCATAATGGCGCCCACCCGCGAACTGGCCCAGCAAATCGAGGAGGAGACCATCAAATTTGGCCAACCCCTGGGCATACGTACCGTCGTCGTTGTCGGTGGCCTGTCCAGGGAGGAGCAGGGCTTCCGTTTGCGTCTGGGCTGTGAGATAGTCATCGCCACGCCGGGTCGTCTGATCGATGTGCTCGAGAATCGGTATCTGGTGCTCAATCAGTGTACGTACATTGTGCTCGACGAGGCGGATCGCATGATTGACATGGGCTTCGAGCCGGACGTGCAGAAGATTCTCGAGTATATGCCGGTCACAAATCTCAAGCCCGACTCGGAGGAGGCCGAGGATGAGAAGAAGCTGATGGAGAACTTTTACACCAAGAAGAAGTACAGGCAAACGGTCATGTTTACGGCGACCATGCCGCCGGCTGTAGAGCGCTTGGCGCGCTCCTATCTGCGACGTCCGGCCACGGTTTATATCGGTTCCGTGGGCAAGCCGACGGAGCGCACCAACCAGATCGTGTACATGATGGGCGAGAATGACAAACGCAAGAAGCTCATGCAGATCCTGTCCGCCGGCATTGAGCCGCCGGTCATCATATTCGTCAACCAGAAGAAGGGCGCCGATGTCCTGGCCAAGGGCTTGGAGAAGCTCGGCTACAATTCCTGCACGCTGCACGGCGGCAAGGGCCAGGAGCAGCGCGAGTATGCTTTGGCGGCGCTCAAATCCGGCGCCAAGGATATACTGGTGGCCACCGATGTGGCCGGTCGTGGTATTGACATCAAGGACGTCTCGCTGGTCATCAACTATGACATGGCCAAGTCCATTGAGGACTATACGCATCGTATTGGACGCACGGGTCGTGCCGGCAAAACGGGCGTGGCCATCTCCTTTGTCACCAAGGACGACAGCAGCCTCTTCTACGATCTGAAGCAGTGCGTCACAGCCAGCCCGGTGTCCGTATGCCCGCCCGAGCTCACCAATCATCCGGAGGCGCAGCACAAGCCCGGCACCGTGGTCACCAAAAAGCGACGCGAGGAGAAAATATTTGCTTAAGTTCATTAAAAACCTAATCCTTCGGCATTAATAAAAAAAACATTAAAATTTGAAATAGTTTTCCCCAAAATAAACCCATTTTTATGCAAGATTTCTGGGCAGGAGCATTAAAGTTGATATTTATTGGAAGCGAGATTTGTTGGGAACTTAAATAGGGTATTAAATTGGATATTATAATTATTGTTAAAGGGTATTACATTTGTATTTCAAGGGGTCTCGCTCAAACTTACAAATTACAAACTTTGTTATGCTATAAAAATCTATATATCTATATCCATTTCTTTATCTATATCAATATCAATATCAATTTCAATATCAATATCAATATCAATCTCAATATCAATATCAATATCAATATCAATATCAATATCAATATCAATATCAATATCAATATCAATATCAATATCAATATCAATATCAATATCAATATCATTATCATTATCAATATCAATATCAATATCAATATCAATATCAATATCAATATCAATATCAATATCAATATCAATATCAATATCAATATCATTATCATTATCAATATCAATATCAATATCAATATCAATATCAATATCAATATCAATATCATTATATCATTATCATTATCATTATCATTATCATTATCATTATCAATATCAATATCAATATTAATATCAATATCAATATCAACAACAATATCAATATCCATATCCATATTCATATCTATATCTATAAATCTATCTATATTTATATCTTTATTAAAAGGTACGTTGGGTAAAAAATTCCAGATATTTTAAACATAATTTAACGAAATTCGTCTTCATTCTGCTGCTAGGCAAAATATAATATATATGCGATTATTATATCCTATCCTATATCTATATCCTATCATATAACTAATATGATACTATTATTTCGTAGCCCTGACGTATTTTAACTAATATAATCTACAATTTATTTAGCAACTCATTTAGGCTGTTGGCCGGCACACACATTAGGGGTATTCCCTATCTCATCAGCCGCAAGAAGAACGCGTTTCGACTTTGCTTGGAGTCTGGTGGTAAATACTTGTCATAGAAATCGAGGATGACCTCCTCGATCTTGAAGCCGAACTTCTGATACAACATGACCGCCGAATTGCTTGCCGAAACGTGGAGCGTTATGTCCTTGGACATGCAGGTCTGGATGAGATGGTAGAGCATGAAGCTGGCGATGCCGGCGCGCTGCCAATTGTGGCGCACGGCCATAAAGGAGATGTACGCCTCATTGTAGCCCACGTCCGGCACCAGGAAGCCACAGCCGATGACCAGTTTCTTATAGAGCGCCACGACGCTGTAGTCCGGATAGCTGAGGCAGTCGCTCACTGGAAAAGAGGGCATACGGATTAGGCTATGTATTTGTAGATGAGTGCAACCCCAACTCACCATCAATGCCCGGCCAGAAGACGCTCTGAAGCAGCGCATTGACCGCCGGTATGTGCTGCGGGCGCACATAGCAAAAGTCGATGGTGGAGCGGTTGGGATAGCATCTATTGACGCGATACTGAAGCTCACACATCAGCCGCAGCCAGGGCGGACCCATGCTCTGGTTGCGATAGATGAAGGGATGCAGCACGCGCTGCGTATAGGGCGACTCGAACAGCTCGTATTCGGTGTGGCCTACAATGCGTGCATAGAACGAGCTGCGATTGCTGGGATTACCCTGTTCCAGCAGCTGATAGCGATCGAGTATCTGTGCCTGTTGTTGCTTAGCTAGCTGCCGGCGTGCACGCGCCGTGGGATCGATATGCTCGTCCAGATTGAAGATGGGTCGATTGTGCTCCCGCTTCCATTGGCGTACGCACAGCTTGCGATAGAGACGCCGCACATAGGCGGGCACATCGCCCTGCTTGTGCGGCTCCAGTGCGAAGATCTTGTGCAGCTGCTGCTGCAGTTGTTCCTCCTCCTGGACGTTCATGAGACGTAGTTGCCGCTGCTGCGGCGCCTCATCCTGTTGCGACTCAGGCTCCTCCTGCTCGGTCTCCTG